AGAAAGCAAAGGCATGAGCTCAATTCAGAGAGAACCTTACAATGCCGTAACGCCATTTACAGAAATTGTGCTTTACAGTCGACCACGAGCGAAACAAACACAGAAAACGGCTTTCAAAAGAGTGCGTAGGCCCAGTGAACGTCGAACAACGGGATTCAGCAAGTCCTTTCAAATCAGATAATAGCGTAATGCATGATGTTAGCTTACGGAGTTAACGCCTTCAGTTGAAATGATAACAGCTGTGTACCAAGTAAACAACTGGGCGGACCATGCAAATTACATTTCCCATGATGCATTGGTGCAATTCCTGGGATTGCGGAGCCGCGCTTTAAAGAGAAACGTCGACAACGTAAACCTGGCACAACACTTTTGAAAGAAATAGATTCCGGACCAGCCCATGATCACCGAGGCGGATTTCAGAAGAGAGAGAGATGTCCGGCAAGTGTTTCAAATCAGTTGACTTTTTTTTGCGTTCCTGATTATCGTTTTATAGAGACCATTAAAAGGTAGCAATAATTTTGACAGTGACACGAAAACGAAGCGTCGGACAAACAGGAAAATACACAGCCCTTACACACTGCTAACTGGTTTCATTTTCGAAGGCTAAAGGTTTCTGAATTGTTTGGTGATTGGTGTTGAATGTCGAATTCACACCTTGTTCTTTTTTACCTCCATGCTTCCAGCTTTATCTGCGTAATAATTTAAGAAATAAGAATCCGGGCTTGGTCAATGTGTTTCCACCAAATAAAGTACTAATATGATGTTATAATTATGACAATCACGCCATGGATCACGATAACTCGAATCCACTCTGAATTTATCTGTATGTGTGTCGATCTCGATTATTGTTGTTATCAAATTAAACGCCGCTTTTAACGCACTTGCCCTCGCCGTGAGCCGACGCGTTCACCTATTTCAACAAAATGTCAATTTATTTCCACGAGGCTGTCAGTTATTTAGTAACTGTGATTATTCGTTTTTTTAATTATTTTATAGTGATCACTATAGTCTAATGTTTAGAATGTCAAAATATGTTCTTTTATTTTACTTTTGAAAGTTTTACTCAGACGATCGATGAAATAAAACAGTGTAGTGACGTGCTTAGTAGTAACACGCTAAATAACGAGCTAAATTCTATTTTGTCCAGCGACAGTGTACAAACGTGCGCCGGTGTCGGTGACGATCACGGTGACCAGCTACACCAGAACGGACATATTTCGCATCTAACTCAACCCCATGCAACAAAAATTGATACTATGTGTTCATTATGGTCCATTCCTCCTCGACGAACAAGTACATAAGTGACAATATAGTCAAAGACGAGAAAACTGCACAAGAAATTTGCCTTATTTACACGTATCGGCAATGCAAGCTGCCATGCGACTTCCCCTTCTGACGTCACAAGGGGAATTTCTGTATGCAAATGAGAAGGTAATGAGGAGCCTCGTTTTAAAATACACAGTTTAAAACACATTTTGTCACTTAATCATAGAAATGTAGGGTGTGATACATTTGGCGTGAAGGTATTCAAAGAATCAGTTTTTGTCTGTTGCCATGGAAACGGGGGGTCAGAATTGTTTTCAGATTTTACAAATAGTAACTTTTGTGCCCACACTCAAGCTGAGTAGAAGTAGCTATGTCCTGAGGTGTTGTATCCTAAATTTGTAGCAGGAGATACATTTAGCACGAAGCTATCCAAAATCAGAGTTTTGGGCTGTTGCTGTGGCAACGGTGGGCAAAATTATTTTCAGATTTTTCCTGATAATTAGGGTGAAGGTGTGACCTACCTGCCAAAGTTTGAGCGATATCGGCCAAGCCAAAAAAACACAGTAGAATTTATACGTCAAAATACTGGAAATCACACACAGACAAATAAAGGTGATTTTAAGGATTATCGTAGTGGAGCGGAACGCCAATATCATGTTCATTTGCATATTGACTGTGAAAATACCAAAAAACATTATTGCATTGGTGATATGCAAATTAGTTTTAGTCAAAATAAGTGACTCTTAGAAGTTCCATTACTGTTGTTCAAATTTCATTTCACTCGGCAAG